TCACCTATTTCATCACCCCAGGGGGCCTGGTACCCACTCCATCAGAGGATTGATTTCCATCTCCAGTTACAAAGTTGAAGAGTTACTCATGCATGCGTTCAAGAGTGGGCAGGGTGAGCACCCTGCGATCCATGTCGTGTTGCGTCAACGCACTGGGTACCCACCTATCGAATTTTTGAACCTTGCCAGTCCACTCCAATCCATGAAGAACGGTTGTGTGGGAAACAGCAAGGCTGCTAGACATGACGAGCAGTTTGGTATGGGTCCTCCTCCTTCCGCAGCACTTCCAAGACCAACCTCACTGAGCGCGCAGACCTGTCCTCATTAGCGATGGAGAAGTCATCTTTCTGGAATTGCTGAACCATCGGTGATCAGTCATTTAATTGGGAGCGTGCTCTTTATGAACCCCCAGCAGGTAAGGTAGGACTCACTAGTTTTGAGGCTAAGCAAGTGCAGAAAAAGGTGTGGCACCACCGACATGCCGAAAGTGGGTTTAGATGGCACGAATTGCAAACATCACAAAATATTTTCCATGGTTGAGTGAATGCTCATTGCAGTTTTGTAGCCTCCTTCCTGTTCTATCCATTTACCACTCAATTACTCCAGTGCGCAGAAAGGCTAAAAACCGATATCAAAACCACACAATCGCAAATGTATCATTACTCTCCCTGCAACCTTATATAAAGAGGAGATCCGCCGAAATTAACTGAAACAGAGATAATTAAGCATTGCAAATGATATGTGATGTAAATAGCATTCAATTGAAGGTCTCCATCCTACTGCAACGAGGTGTTCGGCTCTCCCGCTGGGAGTACTTCCATACAAAAATGTGAAGATCGCAAGCACTCAATCACTTCAGTGAGCAAATAGGCTAAAAACGTCATCCAAAAACACATAATCGCAATGTATCACTACTCCTGCAGTGGTTCCAAAAAGTTATATAAAGAGGAGTCCGTCCGGAGTTAACTAAAGGAAGCAGAGATTAGTTGTTTTAAGCATATGGAAATGATATGTGATCGTGAAGATAGCGGAATTTCAATTGAATGTCTCCATCCTACTGCAACGAGGTGTTCGGCTCTCTCCGGTGGGAGTACTTCCACAAAAATGTGAAGATCATCAAAACCATCGGGAAAGGGCGCCTATGGTGAAGTGAAATTAGCCGAATTACACAAAAGGAATGGCAATGTCGTTACAGTCGCAGCTAAAACGGTAGGAAGACATGTCGTTTAATTTCTGCCACCAACTTTCAAACATATCACAGAAAGATTTTTGTTCTTCATGATGGACGTGTAAAAAGGAAAAGAAAGCGACGAGTGTATCCTTGTTCCGATGGGGGGCGCGGGGCCGCGCCCGGGACCGCTCTCTGAGGGTAGTTCCATTCACTACGATAAAAATTGACCATCATCGGTAGTACTGGCATCTTTTCCCGAGCCGCAAGATGTTGACCTCTTTCCGGTGGGCATGCAGATATTATTAGGCCGTTAAACGGTTAGGAAACCGACCAGGAAATTTTCTGGGAAACTGTAAAAAAATGTGAAGTTTCGGGACATTCAGGAAGATGGTAGGTAGGATAAGAAAGAGGGTCGCAAAAGAAAAGGAACGCCAACGCACCGTATTTTGCAAAATTTAGCCGCAACTGGCAGGAGGTGCCTAATGGTTAGGCGTGTGCCAGATCGTGCAGTAGCGTAGCCTAGTCCCGAAGTAGCTTCTTGGTATCCATCCCTTCAGCCCTGTCCTCCGCATTAGAAACGCGGAGAAGGTCTCACGCTATCGCGGACTGGTTCAAGGACTGGCTCATCTTGCATAAAGCAACATTCACCAACCATTGAGATGAGTGTATGGTTTGTCCTTAAGATATCACATGAGATTGGAGAGACTCCAAAGAAAATCAAAGAAATGCTCAAGGAAGCTCGAATCATGCGTGGACTGCGACACCCTAATATTGTTTCATTCGTTGGAGTCGTTTTAATTGATCAGCCGATTTACATCATTCTGGAACTCATACAAGGTGAGCAACGTTTCATATTTCGTCACCGTTAGCGCTCACAGTGACGCTACTGCGGCTTCAGTTTTCAGGTTCCATTTCTGAGACACTAACAACTGTTTTAAATGGATCTTTTAAGGCGGAGCTTTGGATGTCTACTTGAGGAAAAATCACAAACATGTTACGAGTGAGGAGCGTCTTCGATTCGCGATGGGTGTGGCGTGGGGAATGGAATACCTTCATAATGTCAAAATTTTACATCGAGATTTGGCAGCCAGAAATTGCTTGTATGATGGCAAGATCTATGTGAGTTGAACTTTATGAGATAGTAGGAATCATAATAGCCTCTGCAACTAGGAATCATAATAGCCTCTGCACGACTTCCCTGCATGCTTCTAGCAGATGTGACGACCCACCAACCCTGTGGGTGGCTGCCAATACACTCAATAAAAGTGGACATCTTATATAATAGTGAAGGGTGCCACCGTAGTCACAACTTTGCGTCAGGAATTATATGGCTAAGTTTTCTTGCGTTAGGAATGATATGACTAGCTTTTTGTTTTTCGGCTTTTAAGGGGGTAGATTGGGTGACTCCTAAGAAAGCGTCATACAACATCGCGATGCTGTATACACTCCTTTTCCCTGAGGTGGAGGGCCTTTGAGCACTGCATAGAATGGGTTGCTCGTGGGATATTTCAGCTTGGAACAACTGTCATTTTTTTCTGTGTTGGACAGAGACGCAACCCCGACTAGACTAGAATGGAAATGTCTCTCCAAAAGCACGGGTAGTTGAAGTACGCAGCCACGCCTACCTCATCCCAGGGATTTCGAGTGTACTTTCTTGTGGAATCGTTAGAATTGCATACGATTCCAGGTCAAAATATCGGATTTTGGTTTATCGAAGAAAGGAACCACTTACAAGATGAAAGCGATACAGAAGATGCCAATAAGATACATGGCCCCGGAAAGTCTTCAAGAATATATATTCACGCAGAAAACAGATGTGTACACATACGGGGTTAGTTGTATTTCGTTTCACCTGTTGTGGAATCACCGCACGACTTCTTCCCAAGAACAAATACCACAACTGAAAAAAGTGGCTTTTCCTCTTGTATCCTTCCCAGGGAGACGAAGGTAATGACAGACTTGTACGCCGGTTGGACCCCTGCAATTCAATGTGAAGGTCACTTCGAATTCAATAAGCCACTACCATTGTATGGAAAACGAATGCGTGCCGCAACCCAATAAGGGATTGATCAACGGCAATCACACAAACCTTTGTCTCTTTCCCAAAAGCTCCACCGCCATAC